CGGGACTCGGGAATACTTAACCCAGTTTATAGTGACCACTGTCCAATTTTCGTAACCATAAAAGAAATAATCCCTAAATCTCATTCCTTTATAGTTATAAAGTTTATTATTATAATTTCATACCAGACCTAGATGGTTTCAGAAGTAACTTGCTGAATATTGATAGTGATTTATTATTCTCATCAGGGGATGTGAACACAATTACTGATGAACTTACATCTCGAATAATAGACTAAATATTCCCAATACAATTTTTACCATACGATCAAAGGATCCACAGTGGATAAAAAGTGAAATACTTTCCTTAATACAAAAACGGAAACGCCAACATAAGAAAGCTAAAAGATGTAATACTCAAGCTGATTGGGCAAATTTTAGGTTGTTGAGAAGTAAACTAATCGACTATGTCCGTAAGGCAAACTTCGAAAACATGCATCTAAAATTGATGCTGTAATGAATAGTTCTCAACTACAAAGACTTGGTGGCGTTCAGTAAAGGAATTTCTTAAAACTTAAAACTGCAAAACACAATTTCCCCCCAATTTTATTTGGGGGTAGGTTGTATGGATATTGATAATATTCTCAATTGCTTCTTTTTGGACCAATCTCGCATATGTTATCCTGATATGCACCTTCCAGCCGTAGAATCAGATAAAGTTGATAATCTATTAGTAAATATAATTTTGATGGAAGATGAAGTTAGGGATATACTACTGTCCGTGGACACCACAAAGGCAACTGGCCCTGATGGTATTGGAAATAAAGTACTGAAAAACACAGCTTACAGTTTAGCCCCAATCCTCACTAAGCTATTCAATTTCTCTCTTAAGCGAGCAATATTTCCATCACTATGGAAAGAAGCTCTTATCATTCCTATTCATAAGAAGAATAGCGTGAATGAATGTACAAATTACAGACCGGTTGCGCTCACAAGTTGTTAAGCAAAGAAAATGAAAATTGTATGTTTAAACATGTCTATTACTATTTAAGTAATAATAATGTGCTCACTAACCTACAATCTGGATTCACGCAGGGTGACTCCACCTCAAATCAGTTGACATATTTTAATGACTTTATTGCAAAGGTTTCAGATGAAGGCTGTGTTTTGTGACATAAGTAAAACTTTTGATAAAGTCTGGCACAAACATCAATTTATAAGCTACAACATTATGAAATTATCAACATTATTGAGATGGTGTGATAGTTACTTAGAAAATCGATATCTAAAGGTAGTTAAGCCTCGAGTTCTGATCCAAAAGCTGTCTTGGCAGGTGTGCCACAGGGTTCGGTCCTGAATCGGAAGTAGCAAAGGACAATTCAACTACAGCGGAAAGGAGCAAACTCTTCGCCTCGGAATCACGCCAGACTACAAAAATGCAACCGAAGCTCCCATTCAAGACAAGAAAGTTGTCATCAGAACCGTCTGAGGGTGATATATTCAGCAAGTATGTCAGGTCGGGGAGCACAAACACAAAGCTCCCCGGATGTCAATACCACAACGTCCCGTGAATCAGCAAAACCCAATCAGGTCGACTGCGGTCCGGACCCCCTTTTTTATTATCCAGTTGGCCAATACTGGCAAAGGGAAAAAGCAAGCTTGTTTGGCGTAAATGGCAAAACACTCCATAATGAAAGCTCTCCAACTTTACTGCCTGCAAAAGCATCACCAAAGGATGTTGTTCGCATGAGCAGTGACGGAAACTGCCGTTTTCGTTCATTAAGTTTTGCAGTTTTTGGAAGCCAAAGTCTTCATGGTATTGTATGAACTTCTGTTGCACAGTTTATGGAGTCCCACGTACATCTTGTGGATGATTTATCCATCACTCCTATGGAAGAGTATTTAAGCAGAAGTAAAATGGATCATGATGGTACCTGGGGAACAGAGATTGAGATTATTTCCGCAGCTACAATGCTGAAGGCCGTCAATCCATGTCTATAGCAGAGTAGGAATGAAGAGTGGAGAACCCACATTCGGGTGGCTTGTGTATTCTCCTCTGGGAAACAAAACAAACATGACTGAAGAAGCCATATATCGTGAGAATATGAGCAACCATTTCCCGCCAGTCACAAGTACCGATACAACTGGCACCCATTCCCTGGAAAGAAGACCGTTCTTCAGAGTAGAAAAACATGTCTGAACTTTCAGACTTCATTGTCAGAAATGTGTCCAGGGTGTGAACAGCTAACTACAGATTTTAAAATTGACCAAGTAGAGTTGGATTGTGTGTAACATGTTTATTTATTTCATATGAATATGCATCCATTCACAAAAATGCGAACGGAGTTGTTGTTACATAAATGTCCATTGTGTCCGAGATGTGCACACCTAATTACAGCCTTAAAAATGGTGTCGTGCCTGGTTAGCGAAGATCCAATTTTCCCTAGTATCAGTAAAGCGAAAAACCCAAGTTGGGGTATTTGTCCTACGAAAGCGAGAAATGAGTAATTGCTATAAAAACACCGGATTACCGTAGTTTAGATTAGCGCCCGTGCTGTTCAAACAGAGGAGAGGAGAGGAGAGGAGATTTACTAGAGAGTCGTTTCGTAAAAAATAATACAGTTGGATGTTTAAACACAGGAGAAGTTCGAGTGACCATGGTTGATACCGTGCAAGGTGGTCAGCACTTGTTTTATGAGAGATTCAAGTTTCGTTGTAAGAAAACGGTCCGTGAGAAGAAGTATTGGAACTGCGTTGTTGCTGCCTGCAGAGCGTCGGTGATCACGTACACCAGGACATTTGAACATTTACGTCTAATTCGGCTCAACAGCAGAATTGTTATATGTTATATTGGTATACGCATTTCTGTGTTTTTCTTGTAATTTGAGAGTCCCGGTATAGCAATATCCCGTGTTTACTGTAGCGTGACCAGTCTTACTGTAGCTTCACGAAAGCGAAGAGCTTTTAGAGTTGATTATGGCTAGGTTTCGCTCTTCCGGCCCAGAACCTTAAAATTGACCGAGATTGAGATGGTTTGTGCGTAACATGTATCTTTCTTTCATATAAATATGCATTCAATTAACAAAATTGCAAACGGTGTTGTAGTTACTTGAATTGACATCCAAGTGAATTGTAAGGCAGTACCTTTCATTGACAGAGCATTCAATCCTTCATCAACAATCATGAAAATCGTACCCGCCTCGACCCGCGTATACGAGGAGGAGCGTCGGCGGGGATACGATTATATAACATGATTGTTGATGATGCCATCAATAAAACTGTCGGTCTATCTGTCTTGTTGTACATGGATACCAAGTGATAAAACATGACATATGCGACTGGGTAAGTCGGCATTGATGTCCCGCACAAGCACCTGGTGTTCACATTATATGCAGTAAAAAATGCAATGCTAGGCTTGTCGAGATTTTTAAAATATTTTTCAAAATTTTCTGTTATAAAAATCATTAGTTTATAAACACCAGGTGCCTGTGATGTGCTGCCTCGGTTATTCAATGACGGGCCAGAAACTAAGGGGAATTTATCACACCACAAATAGATTCACCTGCAATCAAGTCCTTATATCAGGATAACGAAGTAGGACCCTGCTGTAAACCACAGTGTAATATTGTACCCTACCCTCGCGGAATATAAAACGAGTACCCACCACGTACAGAGTTCCGCCGCCCTGGCGAAATTCGAAAGTTTTGATCAGAGCCACTGTGCTGGTTTAAATCAAATTGGGGTCCAAATACAATGGGGATCAAATTTCGATGGGAGTCCAATTATTTTAGGTGAGGGGGTCCAATAGCCACAGACGAGCCATAGTACTATGGGAGGGGGGTCCATTTACTATGATTTTTTTATCGTAGAAGTACCGGGGGGGTACAAATACTATGGGAGTCCAAATATTTCTTTACACCGGCATCACGGAGACTTGATTCTACTTTCCATACAAAACTAAACATAGGGCCGCCAATTTATGCATACCAAACACATCAACGTCTTGCCCTGGCCGCCAAGATCTCCCAACACGTTCGCTATAGAGCATCTGTGGGACTTTCTGGAGCGCTGGACAGAGAACGACCAGTGGCGGCACATGGTCCTGTGCACAACGCACAAGTCACAAATCAGGTGAAGTTAAGCAACGTTGGTCCCGGAGAGTCCTTGGATGGATGCCTATGTTCGGCAGCTTGACTCCTGAGAGTGTCTTGGGCTTTGGTCCTGCCCCACACTGAAGCACATGTAACACATGTGGTGTCTCCTTCAGCAAGTGACTTTGTTCGAAATGTGCCTCTGTTCACCCAGCAGTGAGTGGGTACCCGGTAGGATCAGATGGCAATGTTGTTGTTAACCTTCTAGCGCCTCACAGGCAGCTTGGGTTGTATACTCCCCAGGGAGATGATAATGATTTTTGAGTGCACACTGATCCATTGACCGGGGTATGAGTGATGTAGCGCTTTGAGCATGCCCTAGTGGTGTGGATATAGCGAAAAACAAATAGTCCTAATGTTATATTTATTTTTACTTCCTTCACCCTCAAGACATTCCTTGCTCATGTACAGGTTGTGGAATGGCTCAGAATACCAGCAACCCCCCACAGCCGTTTCACGGCGAAGCATGTTTAGGAGAACAAACGCGTTATATACTGATCTGTGTAATTCCTCTTTTGCAAGACGATTTATTGTGTAGGAAGCCACTGACTACTTGCGTGAATATCTTTGATAACTATCTGTTAAAATTCGGGACACATGAAGCATTATAGTGTGCCTTTAAAATGCAATGTTGTGATTGGTATCGTTTCTTTCGCCCGTCAGTTAAGATAACGTGCATTCATTCGGAACGCAATCAGAACTGCTCGTGTACACACGGTACACATGCCCACTCAACAGATATGTTAAATGACGTTTTAAATTAAAGAGGCATGTAATTTCGTTGTGTGACTTAGATTATGCATAACGCTGTTACGTTTCATAAATATTGTATGCAGTGCTATAAGAATCATGGGAATTCCATGAAAAGTACTTTGTACGGTGGAATATGTTTTTATTTTTATTACGCCTTAAATGCCTATCCACCAGCCCATCCACCAGCCCACCCACAAGCCCATCCATCATCTCACTTCCCTTCTACAAGCTCTCTCACCAGCCTACCCCCCAGACAACCCACCAGAACACCAACCAGCTCTCTCACCAGCCTGCCCCCCACCCACCCCACCCCCCGACCACCTACCAGCCAGGTCTCCCACCAGCCTACCCACCAAAACACCAACATGCTCTCCCACCAGCCCACCCACCAAAACACCAACATGCTCTCCCACCAGCCCACCCACCAAAACACCAACATGCTCTCCCACCAGCCTACCCCCCAGACCACCAATCTCCAGAACACCAACATGCTCTCCCACCAGCCCACCCACCAAAACACCAACATGCTCTCCCACCAGCCCACCCACCAAAACACCAACATGCTCTCCCACCAGCCTACTCACCAAAACACCAACAAGCTCTCCCACCAGCCCACCCAGCAAAACACCAACATGCTCTCCCACCAGCCTACTCACCAAAACACCAACAAGCTCTCCCACCAGCCCACCCACCAAAACACCAACAAGCTCTCCCACCAGCCACCCCACCAAAACACCAACATGCTCTCCCACCAGCCCACCCACCAAAACACCAACATGCTCTCCCACCAGCCTACCCACCAAAACACCACCAACCACCAGCCAGGTCTCCCACCAGACCACCCAGCAAAACACCAACATGCTCTCCCACCAGCCTACCCACCAAAACACCAACAAACTCTCCCACCAGCCCACCCAGCAAAACACCAACATGCTCTCCCACCAGCCTACTCACCAAAACACCAACAAGCTCTCCCACCAGCCCACCCACCAAAACACCAACAAGCTCTCCCACCAGCCACCCCACCAAAACACCAACATGCTCTCCCACCAGCCCACCCACCAAAACACCAACATGCTCTCCCACCAGCCACCCCACCAAAACACCAACATGCTCTCCCACCAGCCTACCCACCAAAACACCACCAACCACCAGCCAGGCCTCCCACCAGCCCACCCAGCAAAACACCAACATGCTCTCCCACCAGCCTACCCACCAAAACACCAACAAACTCTCCCACCAGCCCACCCACCAAAACACCAACAAACTCTCCCACCAGCCCACCCACCAAAACACCAACATGCTCTCCCACCAGCCCACACACCAAAACACCACCAACCACCAGCCAGGTCTCCCACCAGACCACCCAGCAAAACACCAACATGCTCTTCCACCAGCCTACCCACCAAAACACCAACATGCTCTCCCACCAGCCCACCCACCAAAACACCAACATGCTCTCCCACCAGCCCACCCACCAAAACACCAACATGCTCTCCCACCAGCCTACTCACCAAAACACCACCAACCACCAGCCAGGTCTCCCACCAGACCACCCAGCAAAACACCAACATGCTCTCCCACCAGCCTACTCACCAAAACACCAACATGCTCTCCCACCAGCCCACCCACCAAAACACCAACAAGCTCTCCCACCAGCCTACCCACCAAAACACCAACATGCTCTCCCGAAAACCACCCCACCAAAACACCAACATGCTCTCCCACCAGCCCACCCACCAAAACACCAACAAGCTCTCCAACCAGCCTACCCACCAAAACACCAACATGCTCTCCCACCAGCCCACCCACCAAAACACCAACATGCTCTCCCACCAGCCTACCCACCAAAACACCACCAACCACCAGCCAGGTCTCCCACCAGACCACCCAGCAAAACACCAACATGCTCTCCCACCAGCCCACCCACCAAAACACCAACATGCTCTCCCACCAGCCACCCCACCAAAACACCAACATGCTCTCCCACCAGCCACCCCACCAAAACACCAACATGCTCTCCCACCAGCCTACCCACCAAAACACCACCAACCACCAGCCAGGCCTCCCACCAGCCCACCCAGCAAAACACCAACATGCTCTCCCACCAGCCCACCCACCAAAACACCAACAAACTCTCCCACCAGCCCACCCAGCAAAACACCAACAAGCTCTCCCACCAGCCTACCCACCAAAACACCACCAACCACCAGCCAGGTCTCCCACCAGCCTACCAACCAAAACACCAACAAACTCTCCCACCAGCCCACCCACCAAAACACCAACATGCTCTCCCACCAGCCCACCCACCAAAACACCAACATGCTCTCCCACCAGCCCACCCACCAAAACACCAACATGCTCTCCCACCAGCCTACTCACCAAAACACCAACAAGCTCTCCCACCAGCCCACCCATCAAAACACCAACAAGCTCTCCCACCAGCCCACCCACCAAAACACCAACATGCTCTCCCACCAGCCCACCCACCAAAACACCACCAACCACCAGCCAGGTCTCCCACCAGCCTACTCACCAAAACACCAACATGCTCTCCCACCAGCCCACCCACCAAAACACCAACATGCTCTCTCACCAGCCTACTCACCAAAACACCACCACCTACCAGCCAGGTCTCCCACCAGCCCACCCACCAAAACACCAACAAGCTCTCCCACCAGCCCACCCACCAAAACACCAACAAGCTCTCCCACCAGCCCACCCACCAAAACACCAACATGCTCTCCCACCAGCCTACTCACCAAAACACCAACATGCTCTCCCACCAGCCCATCCACCAAAACACCAACAAGCTCTCCCACCAGCCCACCCACCAAAACACCAACAAGCTCTCCCACCAGCCCACCCACCAAAACACCAACATGCTCTCCCACCAGCCTACTCACCAAAACACCAACATGCTCTCCCACCAGCCCACCCACCAAAACACCACCACCCACCAGCCAGGTCTCCCACCAGACCACCCACCAAAACACCACCACCCACCAGCCAGGTCTCCCACCAGCCCACCCACCAAAACACCAACAAGCTCTCCCACCAGCCACCCCACCAAAACACCAACATGCTCTCCCACCAGCCACCCCACCAAAACACCAACATGCTCTCTCACCAGCCTACTCACCAAAACACCAACATGCTCTCCCACCAGCCACCCCACCAGCCCACCCGCCACATCCCCCACTAGTTCTACCACCAGTCCACGCCCATTAAACAAGAGTGCAAGTGTTGCATCTGCCACGTTGTTTTGGACACATACACTTGATGCTTCTCACGGCGATCTTTGACACGTTCCAGATATCTTCATGTAAAAACTTCGTCGAACTGATATACAGTGAGGAGCCTCTGGGGACACACGGATTGTCAGCTGAGGGAGGACATTAGGTAATTGAGGCTGGATGTTGAAACATCACAAACCTCGGACACTACACAGAGCTCCCTAAAGTAGATTTAATGCTTGTTGTTGACATCTTCCTCACCACAAATAAAACGATACCACTGCATTATTCAAATGTCGACAAAAATGACGTTTTGTTACGAAAGATCTGTTTCATCCGCAGCCGAAAAGATGAACAGTAAATTACCGGGGATGCTGGTGTGCCGTTTGTCATCTACTGACACTCGCGGACCCTCCAAAGATGGATTCCTGCGTCGCCATGACACATGATTCAAATACTGCTTCTGACATTGAATTAAAGAGGTATGAAATTTCGTGAAGTGATTTATATTCTCCATAGAGTTAATAAGTTTTCATCAATATCAATATCGGTGCACATGCCATACGAATCATGGGAATTCCATGGAAAAAGACAAATGTACAGTAAATATGTATATATTTTTAATGCAGCTCATGCCTCGATATGACAATTAGCGCATAATGATTTTGTGTGTTTGCTGTTTAACGCCGCACTCAGAAAAATCCATCTCTTTGACGTCGGTCTGTATAAATAATACAGTCTGGACCAGACAATCCAGTGATTGACATCATGAGCATCGATCCATGCTATTGGGATACGATGACGTGTCCAGTAACTACCCGGTGTCCAAGACTGACCTGGGGATCGAGGAGGTGCTGTAGGTACATGCTTTGTTTGTTTGTTTGTTTGTTTGTTTGTTTGTTTGTTTGTTTCCGCACTCAGCAATATTCCTGCTATGTGACGGTGGCCTGTAAATAATCGAGTCTGGACCAGATAATCCAGTAATTGATGTCATGAGCATCGATCCACACGATTGGGATACGATGACATGTATCAACCAAGTCGGCGAGCCTGACCACCCGATCACGTCGCCTCTTACGACAAGCATAGTCGCGGTTTACGGCAAGCATGGTTTGCTGAAGACCTATTCTACCCCGGATCTGCATAATGGTGATGGTTGGTATAAAACACTTCAGTTTCAGAAATATCTGACATCATCTATTGTTCATAGCGCTGTTGGACGTTTAATGAATAAATCATGTATATGTAATATCGTCAATGAGAGTGATATAAGCTGAGTGGATCAAAAGTCACACACTGTAACCTACAGAAAGACAAGTTGTATTAATCTTCTAACATTGAGATATTGAATGCTCTCGAGAGCACCCTTCATCTTGAGGAGTGAGAACCCCTATAGACCAAGCTCCACATGAGAGGCTCCTCAAACCCCAGGTCTGATTTATAGACGCTGATTGATCATAGAAAAATTATGTCGGACTTGAAATGTAGCAAATATTTGCATCCGACCTCTTCTTTCAGCGAGGGCGCCTCCAACCAGAACAAGTATATTCAACTGTTCTCGTTCCTGTGTGTGGCCATGCCATTCCGGCCTGTTAGAGTTGTCTCCCTTACGGGTGATCCATAATGATTTACTGTCCCCTGAGTTGTCCAGGCCCAGCCTATTGACCACTGGTCAGTCCCTGGGGTTGGTATGCTGATTAAGAAAGCCATTGAAGGATACTTACCCATGTCCCATTCCCATCCAGGATCTATATTAATCTATGGCCATGGTGAGTCATGGTTTGCAGTCATCAGGAACTAAGATCTCGGGATTTAGTCGGTAGAACCTGTCTGGATGTGTGGGGCATTCCAATATGGGGTGGTCTTGAGGTGTTTGGCATTGGGCGGGCTTGAGGTGTATAGCATGGTGTGGGCTTGAGGTATATCGCATGGGATGGGCTTGAGGTATATCGCATGGGATGGGCTTGAGGTGTATAGCATGGTGTGGGCTTGAGGTGTATAGCATGGTGTGGGCTTGAGGTGTATAGCATGGTGTGGGCTTGAGGTGTATAGCATGGGGTGGGCTTGAGGTGTATAGCATGGTGTGGGCTTGAGGTATATCGCATGGGATGGGCTTGAGGTGTATAGCATGGTGTGCGCTTGAGGTCTATGGCATGGGGTGGGCTTGAGGTGTATAGCATGATGTGGGCTTGAGGTCTATGGCATGGGGTGGGCTTGAGGTGTATAGCATGGGGTGGGCTTGAGGTGTATAGCATGGGATGGGCTTGGGGTGTATAGCATGTGGTGGGCTTGAGGTGTATAGCATGGGGTGGGCTTGAGGTGTAGGGCATGGGGTGGGCTTGAGGTGTATAGCATGGGGTGGGCTTGAGGTGTATAGCATGGGGTGGGCTTGAGGTGTATAGCATGGGGTGGGCTTGGGGTGTATAGTATTGGGCGGGCTTGAGTTGTATGGCATGGGTGGGCTTGAGGTGTATGCCATGGGTGGTTAGTAGCATGTGTGGACCAGGTGGTCTGTAGCATGGTGTGGACAAGGTGGTCTGTAGGATCGGGTGGACTAGATTGTCTGTAGCATCGGGTGGACTAGGTGATCTGTAGCATCGGGTGGACAAGGTGGTATGTAGCATGGGGTGGACTAGGTTGTCTGTAGCATCGGGTGGACTTGGTGGTCTCTAGCATGGTGTGGACTAGTGGCCTGTAGCATCGGGTGGGCAAGGTGGTCAGTAGCATGGGATGGTTTGGGGATCTTTAACATTGAGAGGGATTGGAGTCTGTAGTATTGGGTAGGCTTGGATCTGTAGCCCTGGATGGGCTTTGAAGCTGTAACATAGATGGGTTTGGGATCTGTAGCTTTGAGTGGACTAGGTGGTCAGTAGCATGGGGTGGACTAGATGGTCAGTAGCATGAGGTGGACTAGGTGGTCAGTAGCATGGGATTGACTAGGTGATCAGTAGCATGGGGTGGACCAGGTGGTCTGTAGCATGGGGTGGACGAGGTGGTCAGTAGCATGGGTCGGACTAGGCGGTCTGTAGCATGGGGTGGACTAGGTGGTCAGTAGCATGGGGTGGACTAGGTGGTCAGTAGCATGGGGTGGACTAGGTGGTCAGTAGCATGGGATGGACTAGATGGTCAGTAGCATGGGATGGACTAGGCGGTCTGTAGCATGGGGTGGACTAGGTGGTCAGTAGCATGGGGTGGACTAGATGGTCAGTAGCATGGGATGGACTAGATGGTCAGTAGCATGGGATGGACTAGGCGGTCTGTAGCATGGGGTGGACTAGGCGGTCTGTAGCATGGGGTGGACTAGGTGGTCAGTAGCATGGGGTGGACTAGATGGTCAGTAGCATGGGGTGGACCAGGTGGTCTGTAGCATGGGGTGGACTAGATGGTCAGTAGCATGGGGTGGACCAGGTGGTCTGTAGCATGGGGTGGACTAAGTGGTCTGTAGCAAGGGGTGGACTAGGTGGTCAGTAGCATGGGGTGGGCTAGGTGGTCTGTAGCAAGGGGTGGACTAGGTGGTCAGTAGCATGGGGTGGACCAGATGGTCTGCAGGATCGGGTAGGCTAGGTGGTCTGTAGCAAGGGGTGGACTAGGTGGTCAGTAGCATGGGGTGGACTAGGTGGTCAGTAGCATGGGGTGTTTGGATCTGTATCCCTGGATGGGCTTTGGAGCTGTAACATAGATGGGTTTGGGATATGTAGCTTTGGGTGGACCAGGTGGTCTGTAGCATGGTGTGGACTAGGTGGTCAGTAGCATGGGGTGGACTAGGTGATCAGTAGCATGTGTGGACTAGATGGTCAGTAGAATGGTGTGGACTAGGTGGTCAGTAGCATGGGGTGGACTAGGTGATCAGTAGCATCGGGTGGACTTGGTGGTCTCTAGCATGGTGTGGACTAGTGGCCTGTAGCATCGGGTGGGCAAGGTGGTCAGTAGCATGGGATGGTTTGGGGATCTTTAACATTGAGAGGGATTGGAGTCTGTAGTATTGGGTAGGCTTGGATCTGTAGCCCTGGATGGGCTTTGAAGCTGTAACATAGATGGGTTTGGGATCTGTAGCTTTGAGTGGACTAGGTGGTCAGTAGCATGGGGTGGACTAGATGGTCAGTAGCATGAGGTGGACTAGGTGGTCAGTAGCATGGGATTGACTAGGTGATCAGTAGCATGGGGTGGACCAGGTGGTCTGTAGCATGGGGTGGACGAGGTGGTCAGTAGCATGGGTCGGACTAGGCGGTCTGTAGCATGGGGTGGACTAGGTGGTCAGTAGCATGGGGTGGACTAGGTGGTCAGTAGCATGGGGTGGACTAGGTGGTCAGTAGCATGGGATGGACTAGATGGTCAGTAGCATGGGATGGACTAGATGGTCAGTAGCATGGGATGGACTAGGCGGTCTGTAGCATGGGGTGGACTAGGCGGTCTGTAGCATGGGGTGGACTAGGTGGTCAGTAGCATGGGGTGGACTAGATGGTCAGTAGCATGGGGTGGACCAGGTGGTCTGTAGCATGGGGTGGACTAGATGGTCAGTAGCATGGGGTGGACCAGGTGGTCTGTAGCATGGGGTGGACTAAGTGGTCTGTAGCAAGGGGTGGACTAGGTGGTCAGTAGCATGGGGTGGGCTAGGTGGTCTGTAGCAAGGGGTGGACTAGGTGGTCAGTAGCATGGGGTGGACCAGATGGTCTGCAGGATCGGGTAGGCTAGGTGGTCTGTAGCAAGGGGTGGACTAGGTGGTCAGTAGCATGGGGTGGACTAGGTGGTCAGTAGCATGGGGTGTTTGGATCTGTATCCCTGGATGGGCTTTGGAGCTGTAACATAGATGGGTTTGGGATATGTAGCTTTGGGTGGACCAGGTGGTCTGTAGCATGGTGTGGACTAGGTGGTCAGTAGCATGGGGTGGACTAGGTGATCAGTAGCATGTGTGGACTAGATGGTCAGTAGAATGGTGTGGACTAGGTGGTCAGTAGCATGGGGTGGACTAGGTGATCAGTAGCATCGGGTGGACTT